TCATTTATTACATTTCTCTTAACCATAAGTTCTTGACAACTTAAAGCATCTTTAATACAATATTTAGCAATTTTACGGTGGTCTCAAGTGAGGTATTCTCCTTGCTTCGTGTATAATATTCTCTTTTAACTTTTATTGGTAAATCTATTTTACTACCAAAACCATGTATCCCTAAGAAATAGTTGAGTGTTTTTTTCTCAGATTTCAGATAAAGTTTTTCACAACATACTTTCACATCTATTGGAACGCAACCTGGAATCTTGAGAAAAGTAGATATAAAATTTTTATCTGGGGTGATTTTAATTTCGATCTCTTCCCGATTCTTTTTCTTTTTGTTACCCTTGTTTTCTTTTTTAGAAGACCCCATGTTTGCTCTTTATGAAAGAAATATTTATAGAAAGGTTCACCTACCCCTCTACAACAACTGCAACAAAGAATAGAATCGATTATAGTCTTTTTTTGTGGGTTTGCTGATATTTTTGCCATCATCTAATCTAGAATTTTTAGTTGGGTGGCTCTTTCACTACAAATAACCAGTCATACTTGGATCCATTAAAAATGAGTTCGATATCAGGGACTAAAGCCTGCCAGCATAGAGCAAATGCCTTTAATAGATTTCTTTCATTTCTACAAATAATCGTGATCCAATTTGGGTCCAGTTCCATTTCCACATCAACAAGGCAGATTTGTTTTAACAGGGTAGGATCATCTTTCTAGTAAACAGTTATACAAATCATAAATATATTATCCTCTTTATATTTTGCCATAGGGAAATGGTCTAATCCAAGCGTTGAATGTGTTTCTATGTCCCAGGTAAAGACTAATGCTCGATCATGAGTAAGAAGTTGTGAAGAATACTTTTTGTATAAAATTGAGGGATTTTCCATAGAGCGGTAATTATTAATAGGTACATAAAATGCATGTTTACAAAGTGGTGAGCGAGCACTATAAGGCATTCCATTGCTATTGTATTTATAATCAGTTAATAATGCCTATCTAGAAAGTGGTATCCTATATTCTCTAGCAACTTTTCGATAATATGCTCTCATATCATCTGAGGCTGTTTCCAGCTTATGTGTATCTCCAATTTCTGAATTATGTTTTAGAATAATATTAAGAGCTATAGATCTTTGTTTTTTTGTATTTGTGACAATACGTAAATATGTCAATTTTTCTGGATAATATCACCTGATCGGAAAAGCCTTCACATGTTCTATTCGGAGCTTAGTCATATCTACAGTTTCTCCTTCATCATCTTTTCCTTTAATAAGAATATCCTTTACCTTGGACTCAAATAACTTTGTATTCTTATTATTGGGAATATGAATATCGAAGAAGAAAACTTTAATATCTGAAATAGTTACTACAGCTTTTTGACCGTTAACAAGATAACCATAAAGTCATAAACATAGTGTGGAGTATTATTTATATACTCATTATATTCCTCTATGTCACAAGGCATAAATGGGATATCTTTCTCATTAATTAAATCCTGATTAATAGTTGCTGTTGATCCATAGTCATCATTCAGCAATTATTATATTGCGACTCGGATGGATCGGTAAATATTCTTCTTCATCATAGTAAAATACCTAACTTTCCTCTTTATTTTTCGAAATCTGTGATTGAGGAAAAGCTTTAAGCCCCTCGGTGGTAGAATGCCCCGCTATTTTCTTCCTCTATCTCTGGCTCGAAATTTTCTGAGTTTTCCAGACTCTCTGATAGAGAAAATGGTGCTTCTGATTCTGCTGGCACAGAATCGATGTTTTCTTGGGTATACATGGTTGGTAAAGTCAGGTTATTTTTGTAATATATTACCCTGATAAAAAAGTTTAAATTAAAAATAATTATTGAATATTTTTGCATGAGATAATATTATACAGAATCAAGTAAGTTTCAATAAATAATAATCGATGACAGGAACTTATATTTGTCAGTATCCTATCAATGAGAGGGGGATTTGTAGACGGCCTTGCTATCAGCAAGAAGGATGTCTATTTATTGGAAAAGGCGTCAACGCATTTCCTGTTTAGAATATGATAAACCAACTGCTTCTAAGTATAGCTTATATAATTTACATGCAGATAAATGTCATACTAAAGCCTTTTATTATCAGAATAAGCTATCTAAAATGGTACAAAACGGGAAAACAATAGAATCTCTGACACGGATCTAGCATAGCAGACAATCTCTATGATTGGTCAATTTTTGTAGATCTACCTGTGATTTTCCGTGATTATTAACCAATCAAATTACATAATTTAAAACATTTATCGTTTTAATATTACAGTACTAGAAAGCTTCGCTTGAAGAAGTTTACAAACCAATAAATAAATGGAAAAAAATTTATTACATAATTTAGAGAATAGATAGATGCATGTAAAGTAGTATATGTGATATTTATTATTAATAAAC